ATAACATAAATTGGGTATAAGGTTCTTGGGTTCAATGTTGTTTTTTTTTGTTTTTTTTGTTTTCCGCTGCATAAACCCCATCAATGACTAACACTATGTACTGCCGACGGCAGGCCACCACCACCGAAAGGTGGTTGGAATCCGCCGTAATGGTGCACTACCAGTTGGATTTAGTCGGTAGTGTGTCGATTTGGCATTCTCTGGCTAGATCTACGGTAGATCTGATTGGAAAAAGCCAGATCTATGGCCACAGATCTGGCCATCGTTGATGGCCAAACGACGGCCATATGTGGCTGTCGATGGCCAGATCTTTGGTCGTAGATCTGGCCGAAAAAGGCCAGATCAACGCACTACTGGCAAGATCCAACCAGTAGTGTGCCATTCCGGCAAATTTCGGTCACCTTCCGGTATTGGTGACTAGAATCTAGCAAATGTGGATGGGTGAGGGTGTTTTTGTCAATTTATAAACTTTTATTATTGGGGGTGTTTAGTTAAATTAACAAATTTAGGAGGTTAAAAATAATCTAAATATTTTGAGTTGAATATAATATGATTGGATTTTAAGAATATTCAAACAAATACATTTTTGAGTTTTTAGGATAAAATAGTGGAATGGGATAAGATATGAAAAGTGTGCCAAACAGACCCTAAGTATTCAATTGATAGTCTAGTAACACAACCTTTGCTGGTGAAAAGTCACATGGATAAAACTGAGCAAGACAAATCAATTTCTCTTTGTCAAAAGTAGAAAATGAATCATTTGGACTTAAACATGCCACACAAAGAATCAACTCTCTATTCAGCTGATTAAAATGACTATTCAGTTCTTGGAGTTGTAAATCTATTGTAGCATAAAAAAATATGATTATTTTCAAATCTTGGGATAAATAAAATATGGAAATAGAACCAAAATTGTTAATTACTATAAAATATATACATATTTCAAATCATTTCAGAATTTTAATAGGGTCAAGTGACCCCACTTAGTATACTCGCGCTGTGCTCCAGGTTGTACCCATGCTTGTGGAAGATTTTGTGGGTAGCAATATCTAAATAATGTGATGTATTTATTTGTTGGTTAGGAACCTAATTATTAATTAATGTAATTAATGGTGGAAGGCGACAGAATTTTTAGATTTAACATTTCATCTACTAAACTTAATTCAAATCAAATCAAATATAAATCTCTAGTAAAACACAATTAACATATAGTTTCCACGTTACATCAAATCTGAAACATACCTAGTTTTTAATCACAAAGTCTACAAAAGTGAGTTCCAATTTCAGATTTAGACATGTAAATTGTATAGTACAGATGTTTAGATATATATAACTTTGAAAGAACGTTCAGATGTACTTTAAATTTTATTAATATTTTGATGTTGAAAAATAACAATATTCTGCATAGATATTTTTATGGCCGAATTGTTGGAGTTGTCGACTATTTCAGTATTAATGGGTAACGGAGATGCACTCGGGGGTCCCGTTGCCCGGTCAGCGGGCGGGTGCCCCGCTCCCCGGTGAGCGGGCGGGGGTCGCGGGGGCAGCGCCCCCGAGCCCGTAGGCGGTTTTGGACTTTTCTATGTATAACCGCTGTAGGATTCCTTTTAAGTTATTAATTCCTTTTTGGGTTGGGCTTAGGAATAGGAATTCTTGTAAAACTAGGTTTAATCTCTTAAACCTAGTATATAAACATTCTTTTCTCTTGTTATGTGTGTGAGAACAATTCATTCATTGTAAACGAGAGAGGTGAGGCATATTGCAATAATATTGACTCAGCTGGACGTAGCCTACATTGGGTTAACCAGGGTAAATCGCGAGTATTACATTCTTTGTTTACTGTTTGTTTTGTTTAACTATTATTATTTTGTTCCTGTTGCTTCTCTATTTCGTTCACGAATGACTTCCACCTACCAGAAGTTTGGCATAAAGACATATTGATACCCAAAATGTTTAAAAATGACAAACAAATATTTTTTGTCATATTCTGATAGGGATTTATGTCTGCTAAAAGACAGTTTAGTAATTCCATTCTCACCCCAAGCCTGTTGCACAACCTTCCTGCATCATCGATCGATTTTTTGACTGAATTTAGCATTTTTCTATGAAGTTCGGTGATAAACAGTGGCACTAACGAGCGTTGGGAATGGATATCGATGAGTATTCCAGTCTTTTCACCATTTTTATCTTTTAGCAGATGAAAATTCTTAACAGAACATGACGGAAAGTGAGTTTTTGTCATTTTCAAATATTTTGAGTATTATTTTGTCTTTCCAACAAACTTTGGGTATGTGTAAGTCGTTACCCTATTTTTATTCAGGTAATTTTGTGTGTTACCAAAAGTCGTTGATTTGATTTGATAACTAGCTTCCCGTTACAATAGTGTATATTTTCCAAAGAATAATTAAAAAAATTTAATTAATTAAATCTATATGTTAAAATGATATTTGATTTACTGACAACCTAGTTATGTAATGCATGTGAATATGTGATTGTGAAGTGATTTTGTAGCTACCAAAATCTAAGCTCCTATTTATTATTATTATTGTTTTTGGTTTGTAATCGAGAGTATTCGAGTCAGTTTGTGCATATCTCAATTAATCTCTTAAGATCTTAAAGTTAACGATTGGGTAATTTATAGTGGTCACCCTTATTAACAATTGAAAAATATTAAATTCAAGACCTTTTAAATAATAAATTTAAGAGTCTCAGTTAACCGTCTGACTATCCAAAAGTTGGTTTAAGCTCTTGTTAATTAAGCTGGCGACAACAAAACTTAATACAAAGCAAAGCAAAAGAGAAACTAAGATGTAATTTGAGAGTGAATGGAATTTAATTAAGAGTAATGAAGTCTAAAAAAGTGGGGTCAGAAGGGGTAATATGTGTCGGGAAAATCATGGATGCCAACTTTGATTAACCGCGTGGGTCCAACTCCAACAGAATAAAAAATAATAAAAGAGAATAATAAAAAATGGGTCTTTAGGTGGGTCGTCAATTCCATCTCAAATCATATCATTTTTTTTTTTTTGAGGGGGTTTTGGGAATCCCAAGTGGTCGTTACACACTAAAGTTAAAGCTCTATAAGCTAATTTGTGTTATAATAATAATATAATATTTTTTTTGTTATTAAATAAATAAATATAGTTGAGATTGAAGGATATGAATGGGGCCTTGTGAACCAACTGCCATATTGTATAATCAAGTGCAGATTCTTCCTTTATTTTCCTTACAAACATATCAACTCGTACATCTATTTATTGATGATTAAAATTACTTTCTTTAGATTGAGAAATTAGAAAATATACTTAATTAAGATATGAAATATAAACCCTAAGGGATTGGTCTGACCGTCAAGGAAGTTTGCTCATTTTTTTGAACTGATATTTTAAATTTGTAGGGTATTCAATAGATCTTGAAGATTAGTTAAGATACGCACAAACTAATCCGGACACTATGTTACTAAAACATAAAAATAAAAAAATACTGAAATATTAGTGCATTATGAATTAATCATTACTTAGTTGACATACAACTATGAAATTAATGGAATTTAGGTGTTCATCCATGGGTTTTCGTATTTGACGGGAGAGTTAGGCAAATACATAAGCTCATCTTATTCTAAATTCATATCATTGTATGTATAGTAATGCAACGAATTTAGTATATAATACATAATAAAAAAAAAAAAATCAACAGTCTGATAAAACGACGGCCCCTTTTGTCTTTTGCATTGCATGTGAGTGTTTGATTTGATTTTGCCATGTGGCCCTATAAGATCTAATTTTTCATTTTATTTTATTTTTATTTTTTCATGGAAAGAGATTTCTGGGATCTGAAGCTCACGAGCCTAGCTAAATACTGAAATGAAGGGGTGTTTTATAGAAAGAGGATTTGTTGGGTATGATTTGATAATTAGATATGTGGGATGTGATGGGAATCATTCTTTAAGCAGTGAAGTTGATTTCATTATTGGACCCACACGGTTTTTAATAAGCTGTTAATTATGCCGTAACTAATATTGTGTTGTAGAAAGTAGAGCAAAGAAATTTTTGGAGAATATTGTTATTGACTAATAACCTAATTTCACATGCCACTCAATTTGGCAATTGGAGACCAAGTCACATGTTTCCATCCATTTTTTAATATTCATTGAACCATCGCTATCATCTTAAAACTCTATCACATAATCTTATATTAATTTTCGCTTTGAATTTTCACACTCCAATCCATCTTCATTTTTTTTTTTTTTTTTGTAATTAGGGAGTTAGGGCCAGTTTACGCATATCTCAACTAATTTCTGGGGTTCATTGAACACCTTACAAGTGCAAAGGACCAAGTAAATCACAATGTTATTGTGATAGGTGATCCCAAGGTTTGAATCCAGAAACTCAAAAAAAAAAGAAATAAACCTCCTTAACCACTAGACCAACTCCTTGGGATTGACTCCCATCAATCTTCATTTTCTATAAATACACAAAACAATTAATTTAAATCAATCATATTGGCTTTGTTTTTTTAAATTCGGTTGCAGTCTTGCAGAAAGTTCCTAAATGGACTTGGGCTTGCCCCAGTGGCTTGGCCTTTTTTCATTCTAACAGGCCACAGTTTCAATTCTGTTTGACCCATGAACACAAACAAAATAAGAGAAAGAAACTGTTTAAAGAAGAATACGACGAACATTCTAAGTTGACCTATGAATCATTTATCAATTGGTGCCATATCAGGTGAGAAGCTTATTTTACACTAATAAATGTGTTTAGTGTTGTGGTTCTATTTCGGATGAATATGAGTTAGGTCTTGAACTTATAAGGGTGAGTAAACAATACTTATATTAACTGAGTTTTTTTTTTGAGTAGTTGGCATATGTCTGATCCGTAACAAGTAAGGTATTATATTACTTCTCATGGCTGCACTGAAATTGGTACCATTTTATATGAGTTGCTAACAATAGGCAAAAATCTGAAAGAAGAAAGGAAGAGTTGTAAAAGAATAGTGTTGTTTATGAAGAAAACACTGGATGAGCTAAATTAATCAATCTATCATCATCACAGATTCACACTTCACAAGCCCTTTTGCACTACTACAAACCAATCATGCAATCTAATAAAAAAACCAAATAATCACAACATTTTAATACAACAATATCATAGGTTACAAGATGTATGAAACATGCAATTACTTTTACCCAGATCTCCGCATTTTAACATTAAGTGGAACTTCTTTGTAGGATTGAACCTTCTCTGCTGCTCTGCGTAATGGTCTTCCAATTGAAGATCTCTGTGGAACTTGCACCTTATTTCTTAAGCCACAAGTTTCTTCAGTTGTAGCAGTAGATGAACCAACTTGGGTGAAACCATCTTCCTGCATTGGATCATCAAGTGGCTGAGTTGCAGGAAGCTTAGTGTCTTCAATCTCAAACAAGTTTTCTGTAGGTCCTCGCTCGAGGGACTTGAACCTAGCAGATTGTCTCCTCAAACAACGCCTGCGAAGAACAAAAGATAAGTTGTAGTAGATCGCTTTTGAACAACAGCTTAGACAGATTGCATATTCAGTAAATGACATATTAATAGGTTGACTAGAAGTATGCCAATGATGCCATCAAAACAGTATTAGAACTTACAATATTAATAACAAAAAATGTATCAACTAACCTTTTGTTTTCAATCTTCTCTTTATCTCCAACTATTCTATGCGTAGTAGAGGGGCCCATAGCTGCATGTAATTACCTTAAGTAAGTTAACACATTAGAAGAAAGGAAGTCCCAAAAATTAAGATGAGTCATTTTATGTTCTGATAATTACATTTACTTCTTGCAGCACGCCTTCTGTTGCGGCTACAAGGTTTGTCATCATCATTAGCTTTAGGCAAACATTCTCCTGCTACGTCCTCTCCTTCCTTAAATCAACAAAGTAAAATGAGGTGAAAGTTATAGTATAGTTGAGATGAGTGAATTGTTCAGAAGATAGCAAACAAATAACTCTGAAAATAGCTTAGAGACCTGGAAGCCAGTGTTGGCACAGTTCAAATCAGTTTTCACCTGCAAAAGAAAAGGAGAATTAACCAATACTTAACTTGTTCAAATTATATTTTCAGGTTAAATTATTCCTAATTTTATGGGGATTCACAAATTATTACTTACAGTCGTTGCTTAGATTGTCATTGAAGTATAGTAGTTAACATCACCAAGAGTGTGAACAGTCATTTATTGTTGGTAGGTTTTTATGCTGCCCAGGAGGGGGAATAAACGTCCGGCCACAATAATGTTTATAAGAAACAGAAACTTAATGGAGTTATGATACTGAAACCAAACATAATGTGTATAAACAAAAAATTCTCAAGGCACTTATTCTTGTATGCTATAAATTTCTTCACCTCTACCATACCACCATAATAGAATTTTTATGCTGATGATACTGACAAATAAGTAGAATTTATTAATACTAAACCCTGATTGATAAAACAGTAAAAATTAACCCTGGTTTTGGTAATGTTGCTATGTAGCAAAAGTTTTTGTGATGGTAAAAATTGGAGCATGTCATGTTAAAAACATTCTCTGATAAACACAAGATCAAAACTAACCTCTTTTTCCATATTTTTTGCTTTAAGTAAAGCCTCTTTGCATAGGAGTTCATGCTGTAGTGCTTTCGTCTGAATGATCAGAATGAAATGTTTGGAGTCAGACAAAAAAAGTGAGCTTGAAAAAGACTTGTTTCCAAATCAAAAACAGACTTGTATTGAATCAGGAATTAAAAATTATAAACCTACCTTCTCTCTCCCTAAATTTAGCTCCTGTGAAACGAAAAGAATGTAGAGTCAGTTTTACTCATATAATTCTATAAATGAGATTTACCCTTTCCAGATAATGTTAAAGCAAACAGACCGCTTGCATTTGGCTGTTCGATTGGGCAAGATTCCAGTTCTGCAGCTGCAATTTCTGAAGGTTGATTTTCAGATTCTGCAACTCATTTCCACTCAATTCAATGATTTTACTGATTAATCAAAATTAAGAAAACCATTAAGGAGATAAAATATGAACAAATTTCAATTCTGATGTAATTTGTTGTATTAATTTTCTAAAAGAATCACAAGACCTGAAGTTAATTATAAGTTTAAAACTTCAAAAAAAAAAAAAAAAAAAAAAAAAGAGAAACAAAGATATATATATATTTTTTTTCACTTCATATCTTCTCAAAAACAGAACTACGAAAGGATACTTTCTCTCATCAATAAGTTTCATCAATGTCATCTTTTCCTGCTCACAAGGCACAGAACAGAAGAAAAACCATTAGTATAAGTAGATCCACATCAAAGAAACAAAGAATACCTCCTCAATTGATTAAAAAACCTATAGTAATAGTAACCCACATACAGTGATAAAGAATTCAGAATTTAAAGAAACCAGTTAAAAATTATACCTTGATTAGTTTGCTAATGAGATCCTCCGTTGCTGGAGAAACCTGAGAAGGCTTATCTTCATGGGTCAATGCTTTGGGTTGTGAATGTGACTGTGAATTTGTAATGTCAGAGAGCCTCTTCCTCACTATGCTACCAAAAGTTGATCTCTTTGCCATTCTTTCACCTTTCATTTTCTCCTAACTCAAACCCAGTAACATAAACTGGTAATCAAGAAATGAAATTCTGAAGTGCTATGTCTACAGGAAACCCTGGAACTCAGTTATAAACTATAATATAACAACAAAACAATCAAACCCAATTTTTTTTTTACTTTCTTTTCTGTGTCTCTATCTCTACTTTGGCTGTGAAATAAAGAATTAGAATGGAATAATTTGAGGGAAAGGATGGGAAAGAAAATGAAGAGAAAGAGAAAGGCAAGGCACAAGCTAAAGGCAAAGTGGTTGGAAGGAGGTTCGGACGACCAACGGCTCTCCGAGGCAAAGGGACTATGCGCACATTAGTCGACTAGGAACCTAAGTTTAAATTTCCGAACCTCGTTCCGAGGCTGTGTCTTTTTTGTTAAGAATTTAAGATTAAGATATTCAACTTTTTGCAAAATTTGGCTCCAAGCTAATACCAAGAAACTTAAAATTGATCCTTTTTAATCATTTAAACATGTTGGTCCCAATTTATATAAATCAATTTGTTTCTTTAGTCCTTTTTCTCCTTTTATTTTGTTTAAAAAAATATTCCTCTAAAAAGTTCCATGATAAGAATATTTTGTAAATCATTAGACGAAGATAAAATAATAAGGTAACAATTTCAAGCATGGCCAACTCCCATAGTGTGACAGGCGGTGTGTATAAGGTTCGAGAACGAAATCACCGTTGTGTGGTTGATAGACGATTACAAACAATTCCAGTTTCATATAGACAAATTGAAACCTACAATCTGAACTGAGGATGGGTTTTTGGAGTTATCTGCCCCTCACGAGATCGCAACCCTTTGTCCGGGCCATTATGGCACGTTTGCCGCCTAAGGCTCAGTTGTTCAGGCCATTCTATATAAATACTATTCTATTTGTACAGATATGGAAAAGGGCTTATAGTGTGCTTAATTTTTATTTTCTTAGAGACAGAAGATGAGGGTTAGTGTTTTTAAGAAAAGAGCATGAATAAATTAATAATTGTTTATGCTCGGGCAATAATTTTTCTAGATTCGTGCATTTAATGAAGTGTTGGACTTCTTTAATATTTTATTAACCAAGTTGAGTTCCATCTGCTGGATCAATCCTATTGACAAGATTAAAAATGTTGCACATTTAAAGATCTCATCTCATCCTTTTATATATTTTACACGTTCATCTGAAATTTAAAGGTCCATCCATTCATGATTTAGCTAACTTTCAGGACCAATCCTGTAATTCTAAAAACATTACTACTTCAAATGAATGCAGAATGCAAACCAGAACTTGAGACATGGAATCTACACCACAATAAAGCAATAAAGACATAAAGACATAAGCTAGATATCATAATAGTACTCAAATTATCCTGTACATTATTGTTAAATTGAGTAGCTCATCAAATTGGCACTCTCACTCCAGTGGATGCTTTCAAAATTGATGCCTAAGAATCAAGCAGATTCATATCAAAAGACTGGGAATTATCTGATAATGAAACTTCCACCACCTATGCTTAATATCACTTCCCCAAGAACTACCCTGCGAACACCAAATGCCAGAGTCAGAAGGTGCTTCTACAATATATATATATACATCAAAGTATTTGATACTCTTTTTGGACAAATCTTGTGGTGATAGCAACTCGTCTTTTTAGCTAAAACACGGTATTAGCAATTATTGATCATTCACTGCTAAAGAGTTTTAATCTTCTGTATGCTGCTGTCATACCTTTCCTCAGAGCAATTGTTTTCCTTAAAACTCCTAAAAATTAATTGTTGATGGGACCTTGTAGAAGATATGATGCCTTATTACGAACCTGCCAACGGGAAAAAAGTTATATAATGTAAGTCATCAAAATGTCAGATAAGAAAAATGTTTTATTGCACACCTTTGACGCGTAAGGCCTTAAATCTGTGCTAGAGATTTGACAAGAACAATTCCGAAGATAAACACCCCACATTTCATTTATCACTGGCTTTTCTTCGAACTTTGGACATGACAAAAGCCAGTTCTCTGTCAAAACCAAGTATACATACATCTTGAAAAGATCACAATTTCTGTCTTTCACATTGATTGTAATAAGCAAATTCAGAATTTCCTCTTCATTGAAAGCCTGAGAAAATTGCAAAATGTACTGTTAGATTGTATTATATTTGCCTCAAAAAATGCATGTAATCACTTGACAGAAAAAATTATTGCTTACTTAAGAAACAATTGTTTTATACACAGTTTCTTCAAAGAATTCTCATATTCATGTGAGTTGTTTTACGTCAAATCATGTACAAATGCCTTTGCAGTAGCCAGAGATATAACTAAATTGAGATAGGACCATGGGTTGCGTAGAGAGCATTAATGAAACAGAGAAGACTAAGAAAAAAGTACAGCAAATTCAAAATATCCTGGAAAAAAGAGCAAGACATCGTTTATAGGATCACTCAAGCATGCTATAATTCGACTATTAGCAAAACATATTGAAGCAAATCCACAATACGAGAAAATCAATCAGTAAATATCACGGATAAAAATCTTGAGTTTGCATCATCAAGAGGCTTTTGTCATGTTCAGATAAGATGACTGCTACTCACTTCTCTTTCTTCACATGGAAAATTGTTCATTTAATGCTACACACATTTGAGTTAAAATGCAGAAGGACATGGATTACCTGATTATCGAAACAGTGAACGAGAATTTGATAGGCAATTGCACTTCTGAGGTGCTTACTACGGATGTTGACTCCTGATATGCAGTCCACAGTTCGCAAGCAGTTTAAGTCCAAAGGGACCCTACATTCGCAAGAAAATAATCAATCACCAAGAATAAGAAAAAGGAAAAGTAATTACACCACAGGCAAAATAGAACTGTAACCGTATCAATGCTCAATGATTCCAGTAATCAAATGCCAACAAGTAATAGAAGAGAATTACTGATTTCAATTATTTAAATGTCAGATCTCAAGCGCCACTCATGGCATGTTGAGAATAATTCTCTTCACATTCAGAAGCATAAAAAACAAGATCATAATGCTGGGAATGTTAACACTTTTTCAGCAGAAGGGATGATATATTTTTAATGGAGACAGGAAGTTCCTAATTCTGAAAGCAAAGTTTTACTTTTAACAAAAACACCAGATCATCTTCATCAAAACAAACAATATGATATGACATTACCATCACCACCACAATAGCAAACACCAGCAGCAATAGCCCAATCCCCACAAAAACAAAGTTACAGAACTTCAAGTTCAGCCACACAACAATATCTCCAGCACCACCATGTATACACTTTCTTTTTCTATGAAAAACATTTGGCATGAGAATCTAATGAATATCTCAGGATTTGCTGCAAAACAAAAAGAAGCGAAAAGGCTACACCCTCCTTCTCCTGCTTTTAGCTTTAGCAAAGAGCTTGAGTAATTGTCCTTAGATTTGCAATTATTTAGAGTTTTTATTTTTTTTATTTTATTTTATCAAAGGAAACAACAAACTACCACAACAGTCTCAATATTCTGGTATCTACAATTAATTAGAAGAACCTTTGTGAAAAACATATTAAACCAAGATATTTAAGGTAATAAGACCTTAAAAACTTTGTTATTTGTCACATCGCATAGAATCTATAAGGCAATTACCTGTGAGCGAGAGATTTTGCTATTTTCTCACAGCTGGTATTCCATTCTTGCTCTGTGAAGTAACTGATAGCCGATTGCAGGCATTGATGCAGATGGCACTGACAAAACTAGAAGCTGGCGGTCTAAAATAGACAAATAACAGCATCAACTAACATTTCAGCTTCTTCAGTCGAAAATATTGACTTTTTACCCCTGAAAGGAAATAGAACAATGTTAACCTCAAAAATTGAAGAAAAAACCAATATTTTTCGGCTACAGCTTGTATATTAACCATGTGAAAAAAGACTTCAATTCCACCAACGGAATTGCACTTGCATGTATCTGTCACATACCTTACTTGACAACAAGCAGCTGTAAATTTGATCCACGCTATTAGATTTTGTGGTGGCCCTCTACAACTAGAATCTGAAAGTAAAACATGATTTTGTTGTGAGAAGACCAGAATTATAATGGTGGCAAGAATTTCCCTGATAATAAAAAGCATCTCATAGGTATCCTTATACCGCAAGGAACAGCAGATAAATAAAAAATTTGCAGAAAAATACAAAATATTTATCATAATGTCCAATACCAACTAAAAAAAGAGATACACCAAAAATATACAGTATTGATATGATGTACTATCAAGAATTATATGTGGTGTCAGGAAGTCCTGTACTAGGACAACAAAACTCAACTGAATAAAAACTTCAATTTACAGTTAGAGAGACAAAAATCTAAATGGAAAAATGAAAATGAATGGAGAATGGCATTCATAAGAAATAAATATTATCATCTTCAATTTCTTGTTGCATTGACAAACAAGTTGCCTAGCAACCTATAAATTATATTGACAACAACATGGCGTTTGACAAAGCCAATAAAAAAATCCTATAAATTTGTATCCTTTTTTTAATAGGTAACCTATATTTTTACACGCCCCAAAGAGAAACTAAACTTACCATTTAACAGAAATATACTTCAAATACAGCATCCTTTGTCACTATAAACACATGCAGAGAGGACTCTAGGTGACAAAACCATGTTAGACACCATAATTCCATGTTTTCCTTATACTGTATACCACTAAATTCTCAGTGTCTAGTCGTTTACTACATATGCAAACAACCATAACTAGTTGTCAGTCAATCACCAATAGAACATTGCATGATGAAAAACTTAACGCCAAAACCTGTTCTAGTTGAAATTTGAAACTTGTTTTATAATAGCAAGAGTTAAAGAATAAGAAAAAGGCAAGAGAAGGGAAAAGAATTTGTAGAATGTGTTTCCTGGAGTTAATTTCTCAGTTATGGCATGATACAGAATCATAAAAGTACAGTAATACGCCAAATAAAAACCTAATACACTAGGGTTTGCTTGGGAGTTTTTTTTTCCACTGGTTTTGAGGTGTTTTAAAACCATTACTTGTCAGATTTTTTATGAACTGGTTTTCACCGGCTCAAAAACCCCCCAAAACCAGTGTAGTGTATTTTTGAGGGGTTTACAAAACACCCCAAATCGGGTGTTTTCGTTGGTTTTAAAATTTTATTTCACAAATACTCTATCCACTATAAAACTATCTCAATTATATCCAAAAAAAGAAAAAAAATTAACCATATTATGCATGTCTTCAACCATATTAAATATAAAATAATTTTAAGCAATCATAAAATAAAAAAAATTATTAAAATCTCATTTCTGGATGCTTTCTTGGAGAAGTGGAGTTACAAATTTTCAATTATTCCAGATGCGACAAAGAATGGTGAAGAAGGATAAAAAGACTTTATCACATTTGAAGTTATAAAATACTAATAAATAGAAAACAAATAAAGAACTCTTACCTTATAATTGAAAAAACAAAACTCCCAAGTTCTGGTTAGAGTTGAGGTATTTTTATGAGCATATATGTAAATTTATCATTTAAAAAAAACTGTTAAAACCGCTGGAAAATAAACTCTCAAGCACAGGTTGGGTGTTTTAAAAACTGCTATTAAAAACCTTTCAAAACCACTACGATGGTTTACCCTCAAAACCGCTACGGTGGTTTACTCTTATAACCGCTACCATGAAACTCCCAAGCGGACCCTAATACTCTAAACCATGTGAAGTGTTAAACTTGTAGCATTACAATGTTAGGATTGGAAAAAAAGAAAAAGGAAAGAAGAGAAAGAGTCTGTAGAATATGTTATTGGTGGAGTTCATTTCTCAGGCCACTACTAATAGTATTTATTGCATGATACTGAATAACAAAAGTAGAATGTTACCCCAACTAACTTAAACGTTAGATGAATGTCAGAAAGCAATATACATGCCAAAAATTCTCTTATACATTCAAATGTTTTCTAAAAACAAAGAAATAAGAGAGCTTACCTTTATTAACTAATCCTACAGTGGATAAAAAATTAAATGAATATCCATATGTTACAAGAGCTCTGTGAAGTTCAGAGTAGCTGGGAAACCAATCAATTATAACAGGCTGTGCATGTGCATCACCCTAATAAGGCATGACAACAGAAAACATGGTTACTTGCATTCATAGGATGCCGAAGGAAAAAATATTGACCAGTAAACTCTTGTACAATACATAAAGAAATTTGCATTCAATCAACAGAAATGAAGATCAAGCTCACCTCATTTTTATATGAGAGAATGGTACACCAGAAGTCGCAGGCAGATGTCCTTAACTCTTCTTCTGATGAATATAGAACTGATAACCCAAACAATAAGCAGACGAGAAAAAGTCATGTGGCTATTAAATGGACAAGCTAGATATACTCACTCAGATTAAAAGTCCATGTGGCTATTGATTTTTCTACTTGACCAGTTGCAAAGACCAATTTTGAAAGCCACCCGTTAACCAACAATCCTTCAAGGAAAGAGTCTCCTGCAAGAATAAATCAATGAGGTAACAAAATGTTCTCTTTACCCATATGCACACTGCCTCCAACCTATCAGAATATACATCAATCTCATGCTGCTGTAAACACATATAAATTTACATAGGTGTAGTACGATTTGTGACACAACAAGAAAGCATGTAATGACAGAAATTGTTCTAGCTTGGAAGTTTGCTGGCCAAGACAGCTAAGCCAAGTAAGCTCCCAAAAATGCAAGTTCAAACATGGGCTGGTCAACTCAGACACAAGAAATAAAAATTTCCAAACCGGTCTTCCATCCTAAATTAGAAGATTAGCTCAATAGTAAAATTGTATCAACATGAACCTCGAGGAAACCAAGACAGTTAACCACTCCACATTAAAACTTTTCAAGGTGTGGAGGTACTCTTCTGAAAAAACCTAACCACTTAATTAGGGATTTGCTAAGAGAAAATATATACATGAGTTCTTAGCTTATGACAGTCTGTAAAATACTTTCAATAAAACAAACTTTCAATTTGACCGTCAAGTTACATGCTGGCAACTGTATTAATGCCCTTCATGATAGCTTTCTTTTTTGAAGAAACAAAATCGAACAAACAACATTCAAGTTCTACGCAAGATCCAGTGTCAACATTTCCACATTGAACGGGTGCAACAAGCTATTTTGATATTAAAACCACACAATAAACAATATCCACAAGTCTATTTTCTCATGAGGAAATACAAGGAGAAAGCTTAAAACATTCATGAGGAAGCACCCTACATCCTATCAAACTGAAAAAGGGAAAGCCTTGAAATGATACTTTGGCCTACAAATCTAAGAGAGAGGAGGGCCCTGAGTAGGCCCTTTGCCCAACAAAAAGGTAAGTCATACTTGACACTAAAGTTCCAAGTAAAGCCCTAGATTAGTATCGTAAAGGACTAGAACAGTTAGAAAGGGCAGAAGTAACACAATAGTTATTACCATTCTTCATAAACCCGTGAAAGCAAAGATTATAGAAGTCACAAGTAGTTAAAGATAGTCGTTGCAAAAATCTAAAGCGGTGTACAAAAAAACCAAACAAGAAGTCGCAAGTCCTGTAAAAGTCCTAACTAATTGAGTAGTTAGGTGGTAGCATCGGACATCAAATAGGTTAATACAGGTAGCAATAGTCTCAACATTGTTTTTCAGTTCCAGAGATATGCTGTTCCTGGTCAAGAAGACTTAAGTCAAGCCCTGGTTAGTGATCAGTAATCTCTGCCCGACAGTCATTTACTCCTTTAAAATATTTGTCATCTTTTATACCAGTGAACTCAAAGAATGTTGGAATGCCTCAACAACAACCTTCTCAGGGGCAGGGATTGTATCCATAACTTCAACAAGATCAAAATTTTTCTTCTTTTGTATTTCCATAGCTATGTTGGCATCCTCAAGTTGCTCTTCCATGCTTTCTAACTTTACCAACAGCTTAGCGGACATTGCCCTCTCAAAGACCACTGAAGCCCTCTCAAAAGCCAATTGCTTCTCCAACTCAACTATTCTCTTTAGAAAGTTTCACGTTCAAGTAGGAGTCTCTTTTGATCTACTGAAAATTTGGTAGCTTTATCCCGAGCTAAAGAAAACATGAATGCAGCCTGAAAAGTAAAGGAAAATCTTACACCTAGAATTTGGCCAAGGAAATGAAGCTCAAGAGTAAACAACTTATTCGATGAGCATCAGTAATGGCCAAGTTGATCAAGTCCTCATAACTGAGCTGGCATATTTTCTCACCCTCTTCAAAGGACACAGATTGGAGAAATTGGCCCATGACATATGTTGCATGCACATGCTTGGGGCTTCCCCTCACTCTCAGGTCCCTTTTCTAGAGCAAGTGCTAGAGGTGATTAGTTGGGAACTAGGCTAGGTGTGGTCTCCTCAGCCACTTGAGTAGGTGAATTCATTGAAATCACCATTAGACAAGAAGATGTTGGAGCTACGATTAAAATAGATTGAGGAGATGTTGAGGTAGTCCCTACCTGAGTAAACCTATATCTTTGCTTCATCATCCGTCCTATGCTAGGCCTTGAAGATTCTATAACGGCATCATCAAATCGAAGCCTCTTCCTACCCTGAAATCCTAGTACCTCAGTTCCTAAAGACATGAGTACAAGGACCAAGTATTAGAATTCAACAAGGAATTACACTAGAAAAGCCTAACCTTCAAGGAGAAAGCTTACCTCCACTTTTAGGTAATGAAGAACCAAATATGAGCTCAAATAAGTGCTCGGTGAAAAAGTTCTCTAGTCAGGGTTAGTAAGTTTTATCTCTAAACTCTCTAAAAAAACATGAGGGAGAAAAAAATAAGGAAGAAATTTTTTTAGATGAGAAAAAAATGATACCTTACCCATTGGATTGATATAATGACCCAATTCAATGAAAAGAGCTCATATTTACTCGAAGCATGGACTGTATTTAATCCAACAACTCAAATACCAATTTTAACAAAAAGGACACCCTAAGTCAATTAACGTAACAAATGCTCATCAATCAACTAGAACTACTTGCGGTGCCTACGTGTAAAATTCTAACTCCTACCTTTCAACTTTCCACAATTTGACCAATTGCTCAACCTTGAAATTTGAGGATGTACCCAACTTTAACCTAGTTTCTACTTGAGTTGAAGTAACTCATGTTTTTTTAATAATGTCAACTGTAGCCATGTTAGTTTCAAGACTCAATCATCTCCTTGAAATGCAAACAAAGCCAAAGTCAAATTGGAAAAATGGAATTGGCAATTATTGAACAGAGACCTCTCGTTAAGAGAAAGTTCCAATGAAAAACTTGAGAGTTGACATAAGCCCTTAAGTAAATCAAGATCATGAAATTACCACTTATGGTGAGAAGCAATTTACCTAAACACGGAGTTTCTTTCCTAAAACAACCTACAAGCTTTTAGACAGTTAAGCATTAAATATAGGGAAGGACATTGATTCTCAAGATAAAAGATAATATCCAAGTCTCTTTCCAAAGAAAAGGAACAAATTTTTTTTAATTGAGTTATTGGGGCTTTCCCTCTAATAACACCACCAATGCGGCAATGCCCTCTGCAGTAGTTTGCACTGTTGTTAGTAGCAATACAATATCACTTTGTTGTTGTTCAAGTCCAAACAAAGATCGCAAGTCAACATACATGATACATGTAGTATGATCCAAGATAAACAACAAGAAAGCACATATGGACAGAAATAAATAACCTTTTTCGTTGCTGAGTTCCACGAAAGAGTTGACTTCATTGTTTGCGAAAGACTGCAAAAGCTGGCAACCTTCTAGCTTAGGAACTAAACATGGTGGTGTTTTCTGCAATTGACCAAAAAAAATCTCCATAAAATAGTGTTCCTATTAGAATCTTCAAATCATTAAGCATTAAGTTAAGAAGGGTTGCACAAAAATATTAACATATCACACAAACCTGATCCCCAAAAACCTGTAAGCCCCACTCAGCAATCTCTTCCTCACCACTTATATCTTCCATCTACATAAAAATAGTTTTGTCTCTTCAGTTTCAATACAAAAGACATAACGCACTAATAAAATTAGAATAAACAGCTGAAAGAAAACTTATCATGCCTGATTTTGGCAACTGTTAACAATGTTAGATAGCAGAGCTTCCTTGCTATTCTCATCCTCATCAGAATTATAGTTTTTTTTGGCTTTTGCCCGCTTTTTTGCCTTCTCAATCAGTTTACGTTTCTGCTTGTAGTGATCAGTTAAAAGATCATCTAAGCCAATAATCTTTTTCCTGGTTAATACAGGAAAGAAATGCATTAACAGTATATAATGAATTACATTTGACCAATTACTAAACAATGTGATCAATGCAATTCAAAAGCTAGACTCTAACAATCAGTTTATGTTCAATTTATAGGGTAAATTAACTTAGATTCAACATTCCTTCAATCAATATTGATGAAAAGGAGGGCATAATTTAGTTAACTCAATCTGGAAATCTCTACCAAGTCATAAACTTCGATGCAAAAAAAAAAAAAAAAAAAAAACAAAAAGGTCATGCTACAATTGGGTTCTGAATAAAATTTTAAATTTTAAAATTCAAGCAAATATATTAGAAATTAAATTTAAAAAAAAAAAAACTGTAGTTAATATAACAAAAAAAGGGAAAAGATGTTTTACTTGACAGTGTGAAAAATTTACAGAGCACAAATAAGAAGCTTGATTCATGAAACAAAATCATCAAGAGTAGATATAATGAAAATATGAGAAAATTACACGACAAGCAATAATAACAAAACCCCAATAACCCTAACCACTCAATAGTAAAATTTAACATAAAAGATAAAATTACAATATTTTTCAAGAAAAGAGATTTTGTATAGCATGGAATGGTTTCAAAGTAAAATCCTAAATTAAAAAACCCATAAATCCAACACCACCGCGCGCACACACCCACCACCGCCCCCCCCCCCCCCCCCCCCCCCCCCCCAAAAAAAAAAAAAAAAAAAAAAAGATAAAAAAATCCTACATACACCGATGAGAATTTAAACATAATAACTTTACAAATACACATTTAAAAAAAAAAAAAAAAGGCCACAATTTTTAGTTGAAAAGTAAAAACCTTTTATTGTTAACAAGAGTGGAAGAACGAAGCGGGTCTTCAGTTTCGAAATCAAGTGGAGCATCCAAATCCATGAGGAGATATTTAGGTGTTTCTAATGCGTGTTGGTGTGTATCTCTGGGAGTGGGAGTGTTTGGCGCCAAAGTGTTGAGAGAAAAGCGCTAGTGGCTATTGGGAAAGCAATGAACAACCCTCTCAACTTTCAAATAGAGCCATTATCTAATGCTGTCATTGGACCTGTAAAACCCGGCCCGCTACTATTGGACTAATTAACGGTTATTAACTACACCGTTTAAATTTACAAGGACACACACAGTCCAGGAGCATTTGAAGTACGTTTGGAATGCATTCCGTGACGCTTTTAGATTAACTTGATTGTCTGGGTAGGTGCATCGAATTTACAGATTAATATTTTATATTTATTTTAAAACAAGTATTAACAAATTTTTATTTTATTAACTTATTAATACAATTTTAATATTACATGTTTATAATATCTAATCATATTAAGTTATTAAATCAAGACCCGGTCCAGATTTCAGAACCTTGTTAATTGTGACTAACCACACCACACCAATTGTAAATTGCATGAAAATAGTCCCTATCGATTAAGTTTGTTTTAGAAATACCCAGTCTGGTTTTCTAACAGAAAAAAAAATATTGCTTGGTAGAGTGAAAGTAAATGGCAAAAGAGCAACTAAAAGTGGGTTCAGTTTGAAATGACCTGATCTATTACTTTCTTCTGCTGATTAAGCACTCAATTCAAGTAGCAAGAAGCTTCATCTCCTTTAATTAATAATGTTAATCATAAGTACTATAAACACAAAACCCACATGTGGATATAAAAACAGTTTTTGTTGTTAAGGTTCATGTTTTTATGCCCAGAAAATATGGCAAGAATACTGGATCACGGTAAGAACATGACCAAGAAACGACTTGCATCATTGCTTACTTCATCTTGGAGGTTTAAGGTTCACTTGGGGAATTTAAGCTTGCTCATATTTTAATGATAAAATATTTCATGGTTGAAGATTTATTCCTTCTTGTTGTGCCAAATTCAGTCATCAATTACAACAAGACATCAGTCATCAAGTAAAATCAAACAACAATTAAAATTTAGAAGGTGTGAGTTGTCATCAACTTAATCCAAGTATCCACGACCACATCTGTCTCAACTGTATTAAATTCTTGAATTAGGATTAAGGAGAACTCCTCACCTAAGTAGACAACTTGCTAAGTAATCATTACATTAGACTCAACTATATAAATGAGCAACGTTCTTTATTAAGGAGGGGCTAGATATGCATTTGAGTTTAAATCATTATTTTTTTTCTGTAAACAAAACATTATTCCATCTTTATACGTCTCACAGGTGATATAAAAAAAAAAAATTAGAGAATAATCAAATAATAGTGGGCGTGAGACTTGCTTGTACCGTCTGAATCACTCTAAAATTTTCTTATCAATTCTTTTATTTAAGTTTTGTTAAACACATATCAACATTTTCGTAATCATCTCACACGTAAATTCATAGCAGATTGCATGTGCGTATTTTGTTGGCATCAAACAATTCTTAAATCATGTGATTAAATCATCGACCGTGACAGGTTTTGAAATTTTTGTTTGGCCTTACGAGTTGGAGGCATTTTTAAACAATAAGAAATTTCCAAGTTGGGTGAGTATTGTCACGGGCTGACAGATACTTTAATAATTTCAACTATCTAACAAGAGAGCTATTAAGCATATTCATACAGATTAATTGACGAACGATTCACTTGATCATATTAACTAAAGGCATCTTTTAACTCTCTTACAATCATGTGAGTTTTCATATTCATCAATGGAAAAAGAAAACTCCTTTTAAGAGAAATGATATTTTTTACCCTTTTTAGCCCCAATACTACTATTAAGGATAAGCAACAATTCAATGAAGCATCTTCTCTGGCTTTAGAGTGACAATCATTGTCATCAATGATAGAGACAAATCGCTTTCTTTTCAAAGTTTTCTTTCTCAAATTGAATAAGAAAGTAAGAAACTATGGGGATTAGCTAACCGTGATCTGATACCATGTGAAGTGTGAACTACCCCTAAACTAGCGCAGGCAAATGCGCCGACCCCATTTACCTCACCCGTGATTGGCAACACACGGTTTCACTATTCTCAACTTAGAGAGTCGGTACCCCTTTTCTCGCATAAGCCTACTAACAAAAGCAGAAAAAGGGAGAGAAACAATGCATCATCTAAGTCAAAAAGTTAAGCAACCCAAATTAATCAAGTTCTTCGGTTCGTTTTTTGCCTTTGCATTTTGTTATCCCTGAAAAGTTACGGCTGATATGAGCTCTCATCAGCAAAGGTCAATCAAGGTTCAGGAAGGTTTTGTACCATTTAAGCACTGTCACATTACGTAGTAACGCAAGTGGTATAATTCTTGTCAGTACAGTAAGTGAGTGATAGGATTGTGAGCGGTCAAGAATTATCCACTTGCCTAAGCCCTACGCAATTTTAAGATATTTCTCGTGCAAACCACCAATGAGATGCAAAGAAAGATTTGCACGGCACCTACTCACTTGCAGATTTGTAATTATTACCTTGAACTCTCCCACTATAAATAGAGGGCACCTATCTCATTTGCGAGATTGACTAATTTTAGTCTTAAATAGCTTACATATTCTCTCTCTCTTCTTGTATTTTCTCTAGTTTATAACTCAGCTTGCTGCACGCGACTTGATTTTACCTATTTATTAATACAATAGCAGTAGATGTAGGATTCGCTTTTGAGCATCTGAACCACTTTAAATATCGTTTCTTATTCATTACATCATTTCATTTTTCTTTATCATATGTGATTTCTAAGTCCGCTTAGCATTTTACACGTGCGAGTCGTTGGTGCCAAAACCAAGCATCAACAACATTAATTTTTGAAAGCAAATACAGATTCTCAAGTACTAAATGTGAACTAAAACTGAAGATGAATGATGCCCTTTAAACCACTTTGGCACCATCTAATCTACATCTACAACAGCATCACTATTATTTTTATATACATCCGTTCACTATTATCTACCTTCTAGCTACACACACGCAAAAAAAAAAAATAAATAAAAAAAAAAAAATGAAATACTAACTCAAAGTTTGTCTAAATTTCTTGTATATGTCACTCTTGTAAAATTTCCGGGTCCTGATCACCAAAATGAATGAAACTAGAGCTCCAAAGAATGTAACAGCTGCCAATATTATAAAGGGCATCCTATAACACTGAGTTCCAATGCATGTCAATTCGTTCACTTCTGATCTTTTAATCCCCTTCCTCGCGAGCTCTTTTAATGCTTGATTATCATAAAGCATCCCAGTAACCTTCACATTGAGTATATAAGAGCCAATAGGACTTGCCACTTGCCCACAATTGAACAATGTGGAGTAGTACTTTAGACCAAAGAGCTCAGAAATGATAGCGAAAAGCAATGGCAGTTGAGCACCAAATGAGAATCCAATGATCACAGAAGCTACATACACTGACCCAGGGACTGGAAAGGCTATCAAGAGATGGCCAACGCATGATAACAAAAGGACTAGTGTCATCATCAATGGGCGCGGCGTTTTATACTTTGCAAGCAAACTTTCAGAGACAAATCCTGAAAAGACTCTTCCAAAGTAATTCCAAATGCTGACCAGAGATACAAAGGTCTTGATGGTTTTTTGTGGGTAGCCAAGTGATTCACCAATTTGACCCAAGTTGTCCACGGCTGTTAAACTTGATCCAAGTCCACCAAGCGTTGCAACAAATAAGATCAACATGTCAATGCTGAGAAGCGCTTGCAAGATTGTATAGTCTTCTCCCCTTGGTGGCTTATCAAAAATGGTGAGGAAACAAGATTTAGTATTGGCCTCTTCCTTTTGTGGCTCTTTTCAGATTGAGGAGATGATGGTTCTTTTTTCAGGTCAAAATCTGGTGGTTTTTCAATGGCTATCATGGTAGGAGGTTGTTTCTTTGTTCCAGAGGACTAACTCTTCTAATGGCAATAAAAGAGGGACAAAAAGAAGGACACATGCCACAGTGGCACTTCCTGCATAGGCTGCTCTTGAAAATGACACAGTTTTTGAACAATCGTCATGACCATCAGAAATAATGCTAGAACTATGGATGATAAAGGAAATGGTAAAAGACTGGACTTCATTCGGCTGCTGCCTAACAACCTTAACCGTCCGGATTGTGTACACAAACACCACAGACAATGCAGCCGGGAGCCAACCAATAGAAGAATAAGAGATTTTGAGTCATTACCATAAATGGCCAAGTAAATTTGTGTCAATAAGCTCCACTAAGCCCAACAAAACCCTTCAACAAACCCACATGATTCCTCTGCTTTCCGGGAAGTTCTTAACACAAGTGACAGAGCTCCTGTGTTCGCGAAGTTTTGAGAATTGGCTCCCAGCAAATATAAAGACACATATGCCACACTCGAGGCTTGGGAATTCTAGGGTGACAGCCAACCAGATCATGAAATAGCCTGTAAAATATGGCAGAACCAACAAGAAGTACAAACCATGTCGGTGTTACCTCGGCGAGTAGGCCGGAAAGCACCCCAACATTTGCTCCAAAGTCTTTGAAGAAGCCCAAAAGATTGAGCGTTGTTTGGTCATATCCAAGAGAAGCCTTTATCTCTTTGGAATAAGTACCAAAGAGATAGTTGCACCAGCTCCAGCCATGATCAAAAACGGGCAAATACTTGAAACCATCTTCCTCTGAGCAGATAAACCGTGAAACGGAACCATTCTGTACCTCCGCCTCCGCCTTCACCCATTATTTGCCTTCCAATGATTTGATTGGTGAAATGGAAGAGAAATTGAGGGGAGAGGGGGAAGAAGGGGTAGTTAGGTTTGAGGATTGAATTGGAAGAGAAAATTACAAGAAGGAACAACCAACAATCTTTAACAAACTGAAGAATGATTGTTCGGTTTCAAGAACGGGGATATATATATATTATATAATATATATATATATATATATATAGCAAAGATAATGTGCGGGTCACATCATATGATGCAGTAAATTATTTGCCGTGTGGGGAAGCTGTGTAATTGTGTAGTCCAAGTCGACCCTAGTAAAAGAATTATTCATTTTCTACATGAGTGACAAAAATGTCAGCAATTTTCT